TCTCTCTCTCTCTCTCTCTCTCTCTCTCTCTCTCTCTCTCTCTCTCTTTTTTCATTCCTGCAGTAAGCTTCTCAGAAGGTTGGTAATAAAATTTCTTTCTAATGACATTTGTTTGAACTATTAACCACAAATGTAATGTATTGAAAATATGAAAGATTTTTTTCTTTTCTAAGTTTTGACTTCATCAGGCAATGTAACACAAAAAGCAGCCGATAACGAAATAAATAATCCCCAATTAGGCCAGATTTTTTTTCATTTTGAAAAAGAAACTGGAAAGGTAGTAAGCATATAATCAAGTTATGGGACTATACCTGGCAACCTGGACCGTCCAGTACCGGTAATTCCCAAATCATATTGTTCTAGGCATCAGGTATTGAAACAAATATGGAACAGAACTAAAATCTGTTAGAAAATCTGACACCACCATTTCATTCTGTTTGATGAACACAAAAGCTTACATTCTTTAATTAGAGCCAACAGAAGGTGGGAAGGTTTCAAAATCAGATAGGAATCTACTCTGAAAATAATAACATCAACCCCAAAGTTGAGTTTTCTTTGGATCTACTAAAGTTTCCGCTGTAATCAGTATTGATGTCTGGATTTATGAATACTCATTTGTACTTTGAAAAGACATTTTTTGGATTTTTACCTCTAAATGGCACCTGGTGGCATGCCTAGAAAATATACAAAGGCAACATGTTTTTTTCTGTCCATAATTAATTGGGATATCATAACACTAAGGCATAATACATCTAAAGCTCAAATATCTACTTTGAAATGAAAACTGATTGGAAGTTATATTGAGCTGTTAATTACATTCATACAGACCCTTTTCCAACTGATTAGTCAGATCTTTTTCTTTTAGTGTGAATATTAAAAACAAACTAATTAGCTAACTAAGTGAGGTTAAGGGAAAAGAGATCCCAAGTAGACCTCCAGGAGATAGTAAACCTCTCTTATGTCCTGACTAGATAATCATTCTAAGCTGGCGGTTTGACTTCAATAATAAATTGTATTTGAACAACTAATCTCCAGGATCGATCTGGCCATACTAAGTCATCTCTGTTCTAGTTTGTGAGAATATCTGGTGTTTAACTAGTCAGGTAATATTAACTCATACTACTCTAATATTTTCTTACAGTCAAAAATCAATATAAAGAAAAGTAATAAGATAAAAAGATACAATATATTCACTGCTGCAAACAGCTGATTACCACATTTCAATAGTGGAAGGACACTGGACAGCTGGTGCCAACAGGGTTGGGATCTTCTATTTCTAGGGTAGGATAAATAAGGACCAGAAGATTTTAGGATTTAAGTGTTTATGATGTGCATTGGTCACAGGCATTATTTCTCACCTGGCTATATAAGTGGTGCATGTCAGAGAAACATGCATATTTACAGGCATTTCAGGGCAAAACCGGTTCCATTACATACAGCAGCTTGTCTTATTGCATAGGACTCTGGCAAAGTTTACCTCATTAATCATAGTTCTCCTACTTACTTGTACAAGATTATTCACTAATTTTTCTTCCAAATTTTAGTTTCTAGTTATGGAATTTAAATCCATGTAGAATCCATGCTCCATGCAACTGGATCCATAAAATAGACACGTTCCCTGAAAACACAGAAATATTTGGATCCCAATCTATGGTGGACACTGAAACCTTTACTAATATCATCATCTCCAAGGTTTCAGATTGTAGTTTGTTGTGTGATCCTCTGTGACAGACATATTTGAAAGTGACTGCTGTCTTGGAATCCCTGAAAAGTGACTTAATAAAAAAATAACAATAAAAAGAAAACAGTATTCTACTGGATAAGAACTGTTAATCATTTACACATATTATAGTAAATATCTAACTCTTTCACATCAGGGAACTCACAATCCCATGTCAAACAACTAAACATGTCACAGTCCAATGCATAGTAGCAGTTTGTTTTATGAAACAGAATCTACAGCAGAGCTACTTTTGAAGCATCCATCCCCATTCTTAAACACTTGGATTCAAACACCCCTTTTCCTGCTTTTGAATACTGTCAAAATCTCTCCCCCCCCCCCGAAAACCTAGATCTTGTTTTAGACAAGGGACTTGACAACAATAATCCTTTACCATTATCCCCCCAGGATTTGCCCAAAATAACCATAGTGGTTTGTTTCCTGAATTAAGTGAGAAATTACAATCCCTTCCAATTTCTAACAAAATTTAAAAAAAAACCAAATTAAGAATTGTGGCCTTGAACCTTGAAGAGGAGCTGAGGGGAAATTCTTGTGGTTTTTAACATGTTGCAGGAGGACGAATGTACTGCCTGAAATCCAGCTAGAGAACTGGATGAATCCTTTTTGAGACTCCTGCCTTGTGATGCAGGAAGTCATTGGACTGGGAAGAAATAGGCTGGCATATTTTGCCCAACGACCAATTAATTGTTCTTGAATAGGAACCTGAAATCCAGGACCATATAATTGTTGTCCTGTGGTGCTACCATGTTGCCTTTCTGGGATGTTCTGGAGATGAAATAGCCTTAAGGTTCAGCTCCTACACCTTAGGAGGGTAGGGCTATTATTCCTAATAGTTTTTCTCAGAAGTCCCTAATACAATCCATTTCATTTATACAAGCCACCGAATTATTCTTAGCATGGTTCATACCTTCCCGGTTTTTCATCGTTTAAAGATAAAAAGGACAGAGGAAAATAAGCTCTGGGTGTGTATTCCTAAAGAGAAGGGTGCGCCTTATGGCATTCGGAAGGGCAGGCTGCTGTCCGCCAGCATCTCTTCGCTGCAACGTCTCCATCCCTCCACAAGGATTGACATTTATTTCTCGTTAAACTGAGAACAATGGGTGTCAGAAACTCGTGCCTCATAAGAAAAGTTTGCAGAGGCGGCGGAAAGCTGTCAGCCCTAAAGAAAGCAGCCTTTGTTCTCCTGCCCGCCAAAAGCAGGCGGGGGTCGGCTCCGCGGCTGTTGCCCCCCCAGACCAGATTTTTCGCCTTCGGGCGGCGGGCGCAGGAGAGCCACCTGGGAGGTCAGCGGCGCCCACCCTCCCCGGCCACATGGCGAGCGGCGCCTCGAGGCTTTCTGCTGATTTCAGGTCGTCCCCCCCCCCCCCCCCCCCCCCCCCCCGCTCTTTCCTGGGACCCAGCACCGGCCTGCGGGTTTCTCACTAACCCGACTGGGCCTGGGTGACTGCAGCATCGCGCGTCATCCGCTCCCGATTGGCGGGGCTTCGCCCGTCCGGCCCTGCCCTCCTTCACTCCGATTGGCGGAAGGAAAGAAGCCCGCCCCGCTTTCCTGGAAAGTTCTTGGAAATCTATCAAAGGTATTTCCTTGAACGGTGCGAGCGAGCGGAGGCAGCGCTGAATTAAAACGAAAACACGCAAGTTTTCAAACCATTCGCCGGAGATCTCTTCGCACGCTTCTCTTCCCGCCCGAGGGACGCCTTATTCCTGACCTTAGGAGACGGCCAGCCTGAAACGAGGGTACCTCGAACGGCCCCTTCTATTTATACTTTGCTTTCTTTTCTTCCCCCCACCCACTTTTTTTGTGTGTGTGTGTGTGTTGCGTGCCTGTCGGAACACTGATGTGAATACAATACAATTCCAGGAATCCAGCACTTCCTGGAATAGATTAATAGGGCACAAACAAAAGATTACGGAGTAGTGGTCCCCCCCTCTCCCCATCCGCTCCCAGCGACCCGCATTTCTTCAAGAGCCCGGCGTCGAGGCGAATGTCTGCTGGCTCCGCTCTTGCTCTTCTCCCCGAACTTATTTTTCACGCGGGGAGAGGTTATTTATTCAGATAGGTATTTATTATTATTATTTTTTATTCTAGTTTTTATTATATTCGTATTGCCATGTTTTAAAGTTCAGCCGGGGTTTACAAGGAAAAGAGCTACGGTCCAGCGCATTTTTCTGCTGGTAACTTGGTGCGGGGAAGATTTCTCTACAACTACTTCTCTACAACTCTTATTTTCTGTGAGCGATTCTTGAGTGCGGCTCACAGAAAGCTTATTGGGACACTTCTGGATTTCTGCTGACTTGCGGATTGTGGCAGCGTTCTGTTTGAGAACAAAGAAGAAGCGCGCCTTTCTCCCGTTTCTCTGAGGATTGGATGCTCTTTCCCGGGTCTTGGCGTGACATGATCCTCTGCGTTCAAGGGTAAGTTTCCTTACAAACGACGACTTTTATAAACGCACGCACGCACGCGGAATCCTCTAAAACCTTGCTCTGAAGTCAGTCCCTGTTTTCAGTGACGGTTTACTCCAGAGCTCCCTAGGATTTTACTTAGATAAAACAACAAGAAAAGGACAGCAAATGTGGGCTTCCGTTCAAATCGGTGGCTCTGATGGTCATTTCTAACCGACCAAGAGTCTTCATGTTGGCTGTGCTTTTACATTTAAAGCAAAGTGCTGTAGTGACTAGCTATGTAAACCACCACATTTAGAGATCTTTGAAAATGAGCATTTACTAGATAGTTATCAAGAAATAGAAAAATAAACATGTCCTTCCTGCGTGTTTGTCTTCTAAAGTGAATTGTCTTTCAATCCAACTGAGCTGAAAAGAAGGTGGGACAACCATCAAGAAAAGGAGAATTCCAGGTCTGAACTGGGTCAGAGCACTTTGCTTTGAAGAGCAAAGATACCTGATTTGAAATGCTAACCCATTATGTTATTAGTTATGATAGAATAAATAGGTGAGACCATATGCATATGGGCGAGACAAGTCAAACATACTATGCTAAGCAATGGTGTTATGTGTTTGTTTCAATGTGACTATTCAGAAGTCAAGGCCATTGAGCGACTTGTAAATATGTGTGTACATCAATGTTGCCCTTAGGGTAATACACATTGGACTAATTGGGTCTTTTTTGCCTTCAGTTTAATCCTTTTCAGGTTCTTCTCTTACTATTAAAAATGTTTCTAATAACAAATCCTGTGTATTTATATGTTTACCCAGTCTAACATTTATTGTTCCTTCTGGTCATTTATAAACAAAACAATTACATTGTTTCAATTAATCTTATATGGCAGGTCCAACAAACTACTAAAAATTGTTGGTCATTTAAAGCTGTTCTAAATAAAATATTAGTATTTTTTATTTCTTAAATGTTACAAAAATGGGAGTTTTCCTTTGGACTTTTGTTTTATTACCATATCACATATATTGCAATCACATTTGTTTTTTATGTTTGGAATCCATGTTATTTATTATTTATTAGAAAATTTACATTTGCTTTTATAAATTATATCTGCTTTTTATACTATATCTGCTTTTGAATCAGTGCTGGATTAAAGTTATAGATTTATACACACTATCCTAAAAACACTATGCTAAATTACATCAGGCTTATTTAGGCATGTACTGTCAAGTTGTATTTTAATTGTGGTAGTAGTTATATTAGTAGAAAGACATACATGATTTCTGTATGTCCCTCTCTTGCTTCACCATTTAATTGCTTCCTGAGCTAATGTTTTACTTTGGATACATTGCACTCTCTAGAGCTGGGTTTCTCAACTTCGGCCATTCAAGATGTGTAGATTTCAGTTCCCAGAATCCCCCAACCAACATGGCCGGCTGCGGAATTCTGGGAATTGAACTCCAGACATCTTAAAAAGTTTGCAAGATTGAGAAACACTGCTCTGGAATCACATGCAGTACAGAAACCCAGTATCGTCTCACAGCGAAAATGAGAATGGCCTAGTAACCTCCAGTAAATTTCCTGGCTGCACAAGGATTTGAATTAGAATGTTTTTAAGGCCAACTTTGCCAACTACAGCAGACTCCTTTTTTCACGCTGGTGTACACACTTTTCTGGTTCTGTCAATCTTCAACTTGACAGTTCTGCTTGTTATTCACCAGCTTGTCCTGAAGCTGTTTTGGCTGTTGTGGAGTCTTTCCCTGGAAAGTTCTCTTACTCTGGCTGCATAATTCAGTATTGATAGCCACTGTGTCATATAGTTGAACTAGCTCTATGTTGTTTCCTAACCTACAATTTGGCAGTCTCTTTCATATTCCCAGTGGATGTCCCAAAGGTGTTTTTCAAGAAGGAACTGGACTTTCTGTTTTTTTTCTTTGAAGATGTTTAGCTTCTCATCCAAGAAGCTTCTTCAGCTGCAAAATGAAATGTCTTCAGAGAAAAACCAGAAAGTCCAGTTGCCTCGAAAAAAGCACCTTTGGGACAACCATGACCTGGATGATTGAGAATCTCCATAGACATTCCCAGTGGATACTTCTGCTAATTCTCACATATACATTTTCCCTCTCACAACTTTTGTTATGTCCTGTCATTTAATGAAGAACAAAGCTGCTGTTTCCCTTTCCCTCACCAAGGAGCCAACACCCCCCAATTGTGCAGCTATCGAACCCCAATGGGCTCATTGCTTGCAGCATATAGATCAAGAACTTAAAACAAAGAAAACAAACAAGAAACGTCTGCTTTAAGCCCCTCACCCCAAAAATAATTAAAATGAACTTGTAACTAGTTTGGTTTTAGGAATAATACAACTTTTAATTCCCTTATTTGACAATTACATGAGCAAACAAGAGACTCTTTGCTCTCACTGGTTATCCAGAAGAGTTTTTACTCAAAGAATCCCCAGCTAAGTATTTACTCACTTAAGAAAATAAGATGGTTTACAATGGCATGTGCCCTCTTCTCCTCTTGGCAAGGAAGCCCTGAGATTGCCAGTGCCAACTACACTACTTGCCTCATTAATTGTGGGAGTAAGATAGTATTCATTACTTTATTTTCCACTTGTTCATGACTATGAACATTCATTTACAGGGCAGCAATAGTGATGGAAAGAACAGTGACTTTAAATGGTGTACCTGACGAGTCAATGTTTTTTTTTGGGGGGGGGGCAAATGGCATTGGAAAACTACAGATAAGAGCAGATTCAGGATTCTTCTGGTTCATTTCTTCTGCTCCTGAAATATTAGATGTTAAAAAAAATAGAGGAAGGTTTAATTGAAAGATGCATCTTTGTAACATTTATAGCTTTAGGTATTTATATAGGCTTATAGAGTATCAGCAATAAATGAAGACTATAATGAGTTAAATAGTAAAGACACCTGAAATAGACCAAAGGATAGTAGAGGATTAATAAGAGGGAAAGGTTAAATTTTCTCTCAGTTACAAATTTTGTCTCTGGGACAAAAGGGGTAAGCTTTAAAGCCTCAAGTGAAAACAAGATTGCTCCAAAATGACATAGCCAACATAATGTCAAAGATCCAAATTCCTAAAGATCCTAGGAATAGCAGCAGTGATCTTCATGGGTTATCCTTTGAGGGATTATTTGAAGATTAGCCATGGTCTTTCAGAAGAAATAGTATGGAAACGTTTTATCCCTACTGTATATTTTGTTGACTCATTTGCAAAACAAACAAAAACCCTAAAAAGCCACACTCTCAGTATTATGTCTTGTTTTCTCACCTGTGTATCATACCCACTTTAGAGAACTATAGATAGATGTGTGTGTGTGTGAGAGAGAGAGAGAGAGAGAGAGAGAGAGAAAGAAAGAGAGAGAGAAAAACTAATTGTTCAAGTCAATGTAGATACTTTTTCTAAAATCAGCAACAGAATCACAGAAACTATTTCATTTAACCCAATTAGGATATTGAATACAATTTCCTTAAATGTAAAGGAATCTATATCAAGTTGGTAGACACAAGTTGAATTTCAGTTGAATTTGAATTATTTAATCTAGAGGTTGATTTTTAATCAAATTTGTCATTGCATCTCCTTTCTCGTTAGACACCAGGAAGTGTTTTCTAGAAGTGATTTTTGAGTTCTCATACTTTTCCATTTTAGTGGGATGAAAAATGCTTGTTTGTCAGGAAGTGGTCAAATGTAATTTTTAATAAGAAAGTTTTCAGTTCCTAATGGCTGGTTTTACTTTATGTCTGCTTTTACTTGACTTATAGTTGAACTAGGGTATTAGACTGGAATAATTGCAGAGAAAAGAAGAGGCTGAACAGAGAGAAGGAAAAGAAGATAGGAGATAATATACAGTAGAATAGACATTTAACCCTAACCCCTGTTTTCATTGGTAACACGTTCATATTGCACTCAATCAATTCTGGGCTATTATTTTAACTATTCAAAAGAGAAACTATATACTGTAAGCAAAGCAGAAAGATATAGTACTATTACTTGCGGGACCGTTATGTTTACAAGGTTGAAATAAGTAAACTGGGGGAGTAAATGATCAGATTTCTATTAATGCAATATTTCCAGTTTTGTGAGCAGTTGCAAATAACTGTTAATGCGTTTATCAGGTAGGACAGAAAATATAACTGTGTGAAAGTCTTTGAAACTCTGTCCAAGAATATCCTGTTATGTCTTAGAGAAAGTTACAGAGGTTGGCATAGTGTAAAAAATGTTTCTTTAAAACACTAAAGCAGTTTCACACAATCTGGAATGTTTAAGTGGCTCTTTAAAAGTCACTCCGTGGCAGTGTGTTTGCCTGAAACCAGATTGTCAAGTACTCAACTGCAAACAGAGTCAAATGCTACCGTCTAATATTTGCTTCCTGGCAACTCCATAAGGTTGAGTGTTACTATTGAGGATTGACAGTGGTCATCTGGACTGGACAGTCCAGGAGACCAGCTGTTCATATAGTTGGAGCCATCATAGAGTTATCAGGGTACAAAGAAGGCCTATATAAATGGCCTATAAATTATCATTTCAGATAATCTCATGAGAGAGATGTTCGACCTCTTACACTATGAAATAATCATATTTATTTTAATGCATTTAAAATAATAATATATGTATCATAATGTTATATTTCCTTACTAAAATAAATTTGGGGATTAAAATTGCAGAGAAGCTAACAATATCATTAAAAGTCCAATGGAAAGTTCCACTGACCTAAGTGGAATATCCTTTGGAAGAAATATGCATAACCCCGTACAGAGGGAGACCAGGATAATAAAAAAATATAGGATTGTAGTTTAGCATAGAGATATTTTTTTGAATCATGGCTGGCTCACACATGTTCCTACATTGGTTATTGTGAATAATGAATTTATTGATTTTCTGATTCAGGTAAGATGGTCCTTTAAAGATCAGTAACTATAAAATATAAGAAACAAATAATTAAACCAATCCCTGGAACGGTGGAATGTTTTCCAAGAATCTGCACGGTGTTTTTTCTTTATCTGTTTGTAGTACTTGCAAAGCATCAAGATGAATTTTTAAATTTTATCCAAATTTTACCTATTGGAAAATACTAAAACACTGTCTCATTTAAAGGACTGGTAAGCAAAGAACTTCTGTAAGGATAAAAAGAATCCTGAGCCCAGTTATCTTTAAATGGGTGACTGCTATGAATACAGTTGCCTTGTTTGTAGAAATGAACTCTAATGTGTACTTAAACTGCACAATCCAATGTATGTGTTTTCAAATGTAGCAATGTATTGTTCAGTGATACATCCACTTTAGCCAGAAAAGGAATAATCATCCAAAATGCTCTTCTTTTCAGAACCTATCCTTTGGTATCAGAGGAAAAACTCCGGAGGCGACCTGTAGAAGGCCTTGCAGTGAATGTGTCAGAACTGGTCATGCAGCCTCTGTCAGTCACATCCTTCCAAGAACAGACTGCCCCTCCCTTGGTAATGCCCAAGCTTGAAAGCAACTCCCCTCAAACCAGAGACCCAGAGGAGGATCTGCTATGCATTGCCAGAACGTTTTCATTTCTGAGAGAATCTGGTAAGGATCCAACTGGTGGTATTTTGACTCTTGGAATAAGAACCTATTTGTATATTGTTCAAGTGCACACTTCCTTGCTGCTGAGGAAAGCATCGGTATCTCCTTTAGGGCAGCCTGATTTTTAAAGAGCAGAATTCCGAAAAGGCAAAATGACTCCCCAATATGATTGTCTGGGGCTGCGGTTCCATAGCTCTTTGTCTTCAAACAAGCCCCACTTAACTCACGGACACTTCCACAGCTCCTTGAATATATCATCCCAAAGCTGACTTCATAAATGCCTTTGTAAATATCTGTGATACTTCCCATTATGATAATGACTAAACAATACTACTTAGGGAGGCAGTATACAATAGCCGCCACTTGATTTCCCAACTATATGCATGCACATATATGTTAATAAAATAGAAAATGAATCAACAAATGTTTCTTTTTCTGTTCTTTTTAAATGACTAGTTTGTCCTTCTCATCTATGTCTTTTTTTTGGATTCTCTCCCAGGCTGGTATTGGGGTTCTATTACAGCCAATGAAGCCAAGCAGCAGCTCCAGAAGAGGCCAGAGGGGACTTTTCTGGTACGGGACAGTGCTCATCCCAGCTACCTGTTCACACTATCCGTAAAGACCAACAGAGGCCCTACCAATGTACGCATTGAATACGCCGATAGCAAGTTCCAGTTAGATTCCAATTGCCTCTCCAAACCTCGGGTTTTGGCCTTCCCAGATGTGGTTAGTCTCATCCAGCATTATGTTCTTTCTTGTACTGTGGAGAGCAAGAGTGACGCTCCCTATCCATCTCCCATGCCTTTGCCTCCCCCACAAAAGGAGATGATAGCATGGGCGGTACATCTGAAGCTCATCCGGCCACTCAGCCGCAAGGACATTGCCCCCAGCCTGCAGCACCTCTGCCGACTACAGATCAATCGATGCACTGGAAAGACAGACCAATTGCCTCTACCAAAGAGAATGAAGGACTATTTGAAGCAGTACCCTTTTCAACTTTAAAGGCAGCCAGTCTGACTGGGACAAGCAACCAAAATAACGTTAAAAAACATCCAGTTCTGGCAATTTTGATCCATTGATGAGGTTATGTTCTTAAGTGGGCAGAGTATATTAAATTGCCAAAGGAAGAGACTGTTTTTCCCATCATCCTCTCCCTTATTTTTCTCAGTTACCTAAATTCATTCTCATGCCATGGAGGAGACAGTATGCACAAGGTACACAAATCCAAGGCCAAAAATCTGAAGAAGATGCTTCTCTTATTTCTCTGCAGAAAGGAACTACTCTTGGCATGTGCAGACTACTTGAATTGGGCAGTCACAACTGTGCAGGGAATGTTCAAGCCTCAGAACTATATTATTTATTCCCATGGTACTCTTTTTTGTTACTTCTGAGTATATTGAATATCCTTCTTTTACTTTTGCAAGCAAATTATTTAAAGATGGGCTCAAACCATAACTATGTGAGACAGTCTTGCGGTAGTTCATTATGGATTTGAATGAAGTCTTCTGGCCATTGGCTACTCTATAATCTGTCTTGATGTATTCATACTCAAATATAAGATAAATATATTGGGAGTGTATAAAAGTTTGATTCCAGTTACAATCAACATCTGGACTTCAGTTCCCATTAGGTTGACAAAGAGATAAACTTATTCAAGTTTACTGAGCTTGGATTAGTAAACTTTTCTCTCCCTAATTTTTAATCTGAATCAGTTCAATCCAAATGATGTTTTGTTGAAATTACACAGGACACAGAACATATCTGTCCTATGAAGAACATAACATTGTCCTTGGAGAAATGGTCACATCCTGAAAGTTCATTTCTGTAGCATTTTGTTTATATCTTTTGGAGGGAAAATTCAGTAAACGGGCCATTTTTCTCCTATTACCATATTGGTGTCAACTCGTTAACTGAAATATTAACTCACAATATTGCTGTATTAGCACAAAGGAGCTTCAGGGAGAACACAATACTGATAACATTATTTACCAACATTTTTGCTTGTGAGTACTTGCCCTCTTTGATTCTGATGCTTGTCCATGGGGCAGAGAAGATAGCAGGAATTAAGTGTCACTCCAGCTTCCATCTTTTCCAATTGTTCTAGTGCACCTTACATTTGTTAGGTAGGAAGCTAAGACACTACATTGTTGGTTGTATAAGGGTGAGAAAGAATTACTGGCATTAATTCTGCCTTCCATTCCTTCCTCTGACTTACAATAACAGTAGCTGAGGATGGAAAATTTGTGTTGTCAAAGACTGTCTTTCATTATATGTCAAATCCTCAGGAGAGTTATACATATTTTCATGGTTTTATAGTTCAACAGTGAATACCTCTGCTGCATGTGTGAGCTCCAGGAAGGGTTAAAATTCTAGGGCAGTCTTTTCTAACCTGCCACTCGTTGGATGGGGGACTACAACATCCTGAATTATAATTGGCCCTGCTGGTGGAGAATTCTGGGTAGTATATTCCCAGCATATCTGAAGCTGCCCTAGATACAACTTGAAACAAAAGGAGCAGTATGCTCCTTCAGCAATCCAATGTGGCTTGGTATATTTAGTCAGCGTCCGTTTCTTCTTATGTTTTTTTTTCCAGAATTCGTTGTACGTATGATTTTATTTTAGATACTTCGATAACTGACAGAATGTGTGTGTGTGCGTGCGTGTGTGTGATGTCTGGTTTGTTGATCACAATGCTCTCCATTTCTGGAACAAGGGCAAATGAATGGGAGAATATCTATTAAAAATACAATAAATAATATTTTTAAATACTAAAAATGTTTAAAGCATTATTTTCTTCCAATTGCATGCACAATTAATTTTAGCCATTTCTTGAAGTATAGAAGTGAGTACATCAAATGCATCTGCTAATCTTTCCGTTTTAATTAGATCAGTGATCCCTCTGCACACATGGATTACCTGCTGTTTCTGTGCCTGAAGAGTAGATGAACCAGTAGATATGAAAAACACCAAGGAATGTTAGCAGCAGGATGGCAACCTGATGCCTTCCACACAGTCTGGAGTAGAACTCCCTCCATCCCACACAAGTTGAGTGGTTGGTGGAAATTGAAATCCAAAACAATGAGGCTAATTTGGTAATACTATCATTCATGATGATGGTACAAAGGTCCTATTTCCACATCTGGTCAATTTGGTAGGATTGAAAGGATTAAGTATACTGCAGGAATACCAAAAGGATTGGTTAACTGATTCAGTCAACCAACTTAATAAGACTCCAATTGATCAAACCAGGTTGAGAACAAGGTTACACTAACTACATAGCGCTGTATTGTGCTATGGGGACACTTAAACTCAGTCATCATAGACCTGGACAGAGAAATGGCTGAAAAAGTCCCATATACATCTAAAAAGCAATGCTGAAACAATGTTTAAAACTCCCTAGTATCTACAACCGACAAGGAAACCAAGCCATCCTTTCCAGATATGATCCTTGCAGATACACTTCCAACAAAGCAAGAAATAGAGAAGAAAATGAAAAGGAAAAAGATTCAAAGAAATTTCAGAGCATGTGCTCTCAAATGTCAACGAACAGCCATCAAACAGCTGTTGTACCCCCAAAATTTAAGTAAGGAAGTAATCACGTAATTAACCAAGGCTAACTGCAAGCTACCAATCTAGTCTGGGAAGATTCCTCCATCCCATGATGATCACAGAATCTTCACATATGGACATGAATTCGGTTAAGACCAGGATACATGAGATAACAATGAAATAACTCTCCACAAGCATCCATCTCCTGCCAGATAAGTGTTTAACAAAAGCCAGACAATCTAATCAAAAGGATGCTAACCAAATGTAGCAGAGCTCAAAGCATTCCTCACCTACCCACCCACCCACCCATCTCTTCTAGCACTCAAAAAGTCTTGTTAAAGTGGAGCTGGAGGGGAAACGTTGATGTCATCTCCTAAGATGTGCTGACCAGAAGTTTTGCATAGCTAAAACAGGAGAAAGGTGGGAAGCCTTGCGCCACCAGTTTAGGAGGCCCACTTAGCTAGAACTGCAGGGAAGTCTTCTCTTCATCCTTTCTCATAGGGAAAGTAGAAGACTGAATTTCCAAAGCAGGTAGAAGCAAAACAAAGTGATTGCTTGATTGTTAGAAGTGAGGGATGTAGATGCAACTCAGGAAGCAGCTTTGGAGAAATGATGGTCAAAATGGCATTAAATAAAAAATTATTTGGCCAACCCTTTTAAATTTGTACAAGGCTAAGTTGCTTTGAATACATATAGTTGTTTTGGATACTGATGCCCCTGTTTGTATGGTAAAAGCTTCAGTATGTTTGGAAAGAAATTCTAGCAGGCTTTATAATTACTAAAGGATTATGTTGTAGAAATTGAAGAAGCAGAGCCTGCTCTTTTCCTCACGTTGAAGACACAGAGCATTCATGACACTAAAAGTGTTGGGGCTTCAAGAAAAGAAAGAAACTAATATTTAACTAGTGCTATAAAAGACAGGTGAAATGCTTAGGAAGTTATATGTCTTTTCAGAGATGGGATTTCTTACTTGGCTGGATGCATTTAAGAGTCTTCTTGTATAAGCACCCATAAGTGGTTAATGTCAAAGTGTAAACACAATAAAACTCACACAGGACTGCTGGACTGCTGGCATGAAGTCAAAGCCACTTTTAGAAGAGAGTAACAGTTAAGAGAGGACCGAAAGGATGACTTGTAGGCCTATACTGCTTAAACTCTAGGTACCTACTCCTCTCCAGAAGATTTGGAGAGCGGGCAGTGAGCAGCCCCCTGGTTAGTTATTCTGAGTGATAAAGAGAACCTTATTCTCACAAAAAGGGTTTTCTTTAGAAGATAGATAATTGCTGCTGAGGAGGAAGAGAAAGGATAATGGCGTATACTACAGGTGGTAGCCCATTTTTCAGATTGCCATAAGAGCCATAAGAAATATGATACAAATATTAGGTGTCAACTTTGTGAGACAGCAGAAGCACTGATGGGATATAGAACTGGGCTGAGAAGCTTATGCAAAATATTTGTATTGTCTCTTTGGTAGTTTTGTTCTATTCCCCTATTTTTTTATTTGTCAATTTGCTGCTTCAAATCACAAAGTGATTTTCGTGGCTTAAAAAATAGGATTAAAACTTCAGTAAAAGTAGTAACTAAAAATAACAATAATCACAAATTCAATACCTTTCACAGAAAGCTGGGATAAAAAGTAACTGCCAGTTAGCTGCAGGCCATAAGGAACTGCTGTAGACAAGTGCTGTCTGTTGGCTGGGCCTAATTTAAATGGAAAACAAATAGCAAAAAGGAATCACATATAAACCATACATTTTGGGATGTTCTAAAATATTTATTTAGTACATCACTTTAGACTATATGGATACTCCTCTGGGCAGCTAACATCAAATTAAAATAGTTTTTAAAAATAGCGGAATAAAAAAACCCAACAATGTTCACCAAAGATGAACCCAAGAAGATTAGAAGAAACTTCCTACAGCAGTGTTGGCAATAAGATGTGTTGACTTCAACATGCCGATGCAGGAATTCTGAGAGTTGAAGTCTACATATTAAAGATGAAAAACACTGTCCGGAGCATAAAATAGCTGTCCATTCCTTCCCATATCTTCTACATTTTTTTAAGGTTATTCTGGGTTTATTCTTGTGCTAACATGATAGAGAAGGCAGAGTGGGCAGTTCTAGTCATATGTCAATATTAAAAGATAATTCTCCATTCTTATATTTGAGTATATTTTGCAGAGGAGAATCAAAAGTTAGTCAAAGTGAATTTATTTATACAACTGCGCTATAAAGAGATGTGCATGGAAACGAAGACAGAACTTTAATTATAATTATGTTTAATTATGTTGTCCTTCGCTGAACTCTAAATTCACATGGTGCAATGAAGTAAACAAATTTGATTGGATCTTCATTTTCTATACTAAAAAGTATAGTACAGTGTAGAAATCCATGGGGAACATGTACAATGTACATCTCTTGACAATTCAGAGTTAGTGTGGATTCATGTCTAAGGGAAACAGCTAATGCTTGATAATGAACAACATTCACAAGTTTGAATGGAGTTAGCAAAAATCTCATTGTATTTCTGCCCACCACTTGACAGACCTGTTCAGTTAGGCAATGATGGATACACCGTAGTATGCACCTGTTTGTGAATGGTGTGTTCTTTTTGTTAAATCTGAATCAAAAACAATAAAGCATTAGATATTATATAATTAAAAGATAACATATCTCTTGATTTTGATTCAGACTTAACAAAAATGAACACACTATTCACTAACAGGTGTGTGTGTGTGTATGTGTGTGTGTGTGTGTACCAATGTATGTACATACATACATACATGTAATGTAGAATATATTAAAATTATTTTCTATCCTCAGCATCAAAGTAAGAAGAGAAACAGCAGAAGAAACAGGAGTAATCTGGCTATGAAAGGCATCTCAAATGTAAATTGTGATTTATGCACTGTCACAATAATTGTTACTATGGCCAAGGCTTACATATTAATCTCCGCATTTTTATTTTGTTGTCTGTGAATCAGGGTTTTTAAACTCATGATGACTGCCTTGACAAGTACCTGCAGTTTTCTTGGCAGCGTTTTTCAGAAGTGGTTTGGCCTTGTCTTCTTCCTAAGGCGGACACAATAGAATAGCTGTCTATTTAGGCTGACTTTGCGCTTGAAAAACTCACAGGCTCCTGGTTTTAGTCTGGTGCCTTAACCATTATAGCAAAATGATTCAATTGCAGGATTTATCCAATCCAAAACATAGTATTAAAAATTCATTTTGCTCCTGAATCTACCAGAGGACTTGCTGCCATTCAGAGATAGTGTTTTAGAACATTGGGCTGTCAACTGGAAAGACTCAGAAATTAAACAATGTCAGAGTACATTCATGAACTGGAATAGAGCTTAGTAACAAGGTCAGCCAGTGAGAGCTGAATTGGGGGCTGAAGCTTAAAGAGAGAATCTGGGTATGGTTTATCTCTGTTCTGTGCTCAGCTCTAAAGTGAAAGTGAAACTAATTTGCTTGCTTGCTGAAAACTGATATCTGCTCTGAGCTGCTGCTGCTGCTGCTGCTTGTGTTTTTGCTTATGTTAGGTTGAAAGAATCTACAAATGGTATTGTAAACTTTACTCACATTATTATGTTCATAAAGAAGTTAATGATCCTGCTGAATCAGTTATCTGTGTGCTTTCTGGACTTGAATATCTGCTGCAAACTCTAATAAACAAGGTTTCTGAGACGGAATGAGCAGACAATATGATATAAAGCAGATATAACTTGATGGCTTTCACATGCTTTGGACTTTGAATCCCCTAATTTGAGAGTTGGTGCAGTGAAATAGTTAAAATGTTGGCCTAAGATCTGAGAGACCCAAGTTCAAATCCACGCTTATCCAGGGCTACTCATGCAGTGACCTTACACCAGCCATGTTTACCTACTATTAAAGTTTGTTGAGATGGTGATGGTGGGAATTGGAAAAGGGAGTACTATATGTGGTGCCACGAGTTCTTGGAGGAAAGGAAGGATATAAATCCAACAAATAGAACAGTCACCCATTATCAGGTTGGGTTAGGCCAATATGAAGTTAGCTACAATAGGAATCAGCTCTAGGATTTCAAATACAGGCTAAAGAGTGCAATGTTTTAATGCTATAGACAGTGGAGTTAAAAGTAAAGCAAAAGAAGAAACCTGCCATAGTTCTTAGAATAAATCTCAGTTTAACCAAATTTCCCTATCATTTTGCCATATGTTGGGGTTCCAAGTAACACAACCGAATGG